GCAGAAATGCTGAAATCAGCACGAAACCACCATAAACCGCGCGTGAAGTGAAGAAAAACGCACCGTCAAATACGCGACAATTTCCTACTAGTAGTAGTAGTAGTAGTAGCAGTAGTAGTAGTAGTAGCAGTAGTAGTAGTAGGAGGAGTAGGAGTAGTAGTAGGCTCATCTCCTCCAAGATCCACATGGCTGTCGGTGCATCCAACGAGCTGAAAGGATCATCCAAAAGCACGAGCTCAGCGTTCAAATTGTAGGCCGTCCGCGCCAGGGACACGCGTGCCCTTTGGCCACCAGAGAGGCTGATGCCACCGGCCCCAATGAAGGCCTCGTCTCGGCCTGGCAGGAACTTGAGATCTGGTAGCAGGCCCGCAGCAGCCACCACTTTCCGGTAGCGGGCCTCATCATAGGGCTGGCCAAACAGGATGTTGTCCCGCAAGGTACCCTCTGCGAGGTGGGGTACTTGGGCACTGTATCCGCAGACTTCCGGTCTGGATAAGAAGGCCGTCTTTTGTGAGACTGGATGGAGTTCCCCAAGGGCGGCTTCGAGCAAAGTGCTCTTCCCCGAGCCTACGCCACCAACGACCGCCACCAACTCACCCCTTTGCACCTCCACATCGAGGCTATGCAGTGCCAGGGACGTATTGCCTCTGTCACAGAAGTAGCTGCCCTGAATCTTCAGAATGGGCTGATGTCCTGACCTCTGCTTCGCACTCGTTACCTCCACCCACTCAGGGATGGCGGCTCCCGGAAGCACGGGGGTCTCTTCCTGCTTCAAAAAGCTCTCTACGCGCATGACAGAGGTACGGACAGCGACGATGCGCTGGATGCCTGCGGAGACTGCGACGCTCTCAGTCCTCAGTAAAGCTAGGATCTGAAGGCACCCGAAGATAAGAGCGATGTCACCTGGGCTCTTGTCAAAGGATGTAATTTAAGTTACCATAATAAGGAAACTTTATTGTTTACTATAGATCCCCATTATGCCATTATGGTGACTTAAATGAAATCCCTTGATAAGAACCCAGTCACTGCCGCCGTAGGTGCGAAGGAAACCCCACACACCAGCGCAGGTCATGAACCTTCGAAAATAATGGCAAATCAAATGGAAACTACTAAGCAAGATTTGCCGTCCATTCCTTTGCCTTGGAAAAAGACCGAAGAGAACGTCGAGGTGGCTTGTCAGGCGAAAGTAGGTGCCCAACAACTGCAGCTCTTTCTTCCGGATTGTCGAGATCTCCTCCTCCACGGCACTTTCCCAGGTGTAGATCTTGCAAGTGCGAATCCCTTTCAACACCTGGTTCTCTAAATTGGGGTCCGTTTTTTGCGGCTCTATAAAGGTTTTATAAGGGTTGTACAAGGCACTATTGGGGTTTTATTGAGGTTCTCTCAGTCAGGGTCCCTTCTTGGGATCCCCAAATACAAGCCGGCACTATAATAAAGGACCCAACAATGGACCCTATCTTTTTTCAGAACTACCTCATAGAAGCCTTGAACAACCCTTGTAGGAATCCTCTTAGGAATCCCTCATAGCAACCCGCAACCCTGAAAAGAACCCCCTAAACAAAGGGACCCTAGGTTAGACAACTACACCCACCTCACGGAGGAAAGAGACACGGTGATCCCGCACCTCCTGGAGATGTGTTTAAGGTTTAGAGTTTAGGGTTCAAGGGTTTAGGGGTTAGGAAATTCAGGGTTCAGCATTTGGGGTTTGGGAGCTTAGGGTTTAGGGGCTCCTGGAGATGCATCATGTTACTCTCCATGGCCCCGGTGAGTTTCATCAAGGTAAGGAAGGCCGGGATAACCACAGCAAAGCAAAAGAGCATGGCAAGCCGTAGCTTGACGGCCAGGAGCACAAGTAGCACGACAGCCGTCAAACTGGCATTGATGGCCAAGGACACTTGGACAGCAAGCCCACTGAAGTTGCCAAACACGTCATGGTCTATTACCATCCTCTCTTCTTCAATGACCAGGCCCCAAAAAAATCAGTCTCTTTTAATGTAGAGCAAACATACAAGGCCAAAATGTTTATAAAGTTCTCCTAATAGCTAAGTAAGCATCATTGCGTTTGGCTTCGCTTCCTTCCCAAGCGCCCTGCCTTGGCTGCCTTGGCTCAGCACCGAAGCCGGCAAACGCTGCGTCTTCTTGAAAACAGCCACGGCCACTCCGGCAATGCTCTGGTCAAACTGCATGGAGAAGTTGGCTTCGAAGGAGGACAGTACAGCGGACAAGAGTGGTTGTACTGAGAAGGCAAGGATGGAAAGCAAGATCGGTTGGGTCATGTCTGGAAAATTGCCGTTCTTCCCGTGCACCTCTGCCCTCAATGACAAGAAGTAGCTCACAGATGCCTGGATGAGGTACACTCGATACAGGTTGCCTATCACCACGCGAACGGAGACACACGTGTGGAGCCAGAGGAGCTGTCGGTAGCCCCAAAGCTTGCAAAGCACTCGCATGATGCTCGCCGATTCCCCGTTCTCATGCACCTCTTCTTCCCAGAGCGTCTGGAAGCGTTCACACTGCAGAGCTGCCTGCCACTCCGATGAGCTTACAGGTGGGAGCTCATCGGGATGACACTTTGACATGGCTCCGTCCCAGGAGTGGCCCAGGCGTGCCATCATAGGGTTGAGCCAGCTCACGGAAACCCAACTCAGGTAAGACCTGCTCTGCCAAAGCTCATCTTCGGGACAGCTTTTGCCTTTGACGTGGCCGGGGGTGGGCTTCTCATCCCCAGGCTCCACTCTCGAGATATGGAAGTACATGGAAGCGATCGAGGAGATGTAGAGTGCGAAATAGAGGAACAAACTGAACTTAGCCGCATCAAACCAGAAAAATCTGGAAGATGACCATGGCGAAGAGCTATCATCGGTGGGCTCTGCATGCCGCGCCATAAAGGTGCGATCCGAGACCGCCAGCAGGCCCTTGAGGATGTCCTCTCCGGCCAAATTCCTCATACCAGCTTCAGCAAGGAGAACTCAAGGCCCCAGGTGGCCAGGCCCTGGGCCCTGCTCCGACCACAGGGTTCAGGGTTTAGGGTTAAGGGTTTCGGCATGTAGTCGATGTTTTGCAGACGTCATGGGCCCAATACTTGAGCCACAGATACATAGGTCTCGGTCTTAGAGTTTGGACACTCTCCGTCAGCATGGCTCCATGCACTGCTCTAGGGCTTAAGCGCACAAAGCCTTCCGAACTACGAGGCCACGCTCCTTGAAGCCTTAGAAAGCATGTGCTATAAAGCGCCAAGTCTGGCACCTGGAGCTAGGAAATGACAGACAAAGTAAAAAGCAGCTTGACTGCCATACTAAGTTTACTCCTTTGCTGGTGCCTGATTCGACGATGGGGGCTTTTGGGGGAGCAGGGGGCGATACTTGTTCCTAGGCACAGGTGGCATAGAAGACGACCTGAAGCAATGCGAGAGACCCCAATATCTCTGGAATTTTCAAAAAAAAAATACTTGGCCTGACTGTTGAGAGGATACCAGGTTCATTGATGATTACTCTTAGACCACAAACTGGCCCGAAACCCTAGGCTCTTGAGCCCTTGATCCCAATTCTCAACCCTGAGCCGTGCAAGCTCACACGATCTCACGCGGTTACGCTGCCCCAGGCCGAGGTACCCGCCAAGTTTCGGGACGTCCAAGAACTGTGATTGGGTGAGGAATTGCCTGGGCCATCTGGCAGTTGTGGGTTTAGCTTCCAGGCCCCAGGCAGAGTCACATTTTTGTACAGGACTTTTGTGTTTTCGCGTTCGGATTATGTAGGGCTCGCAAAGCACCCCTTAGGGGCCAAATGCCAAGGGCAGGTTTATCAGATTGCACATGCTCTGCTTAGCTGTGAAAAGGCTCGCTGTGGCGCTTGCTGACTCCCTGAGCTCCCGATCCCAGACCCCCATCATTTCTGAGAGTAGTTCGAGGGTACCTATACGATGAAGGACCTACTCTGTATCTTGACAGGTCCAGGCGCATATCATCTGCGGAGTCATCGTACCCCCATGACGCCTCCTTTTCCGATCACGGCGTCTCAAAAGTTGCTGGGCAGGAATACTTTTTGGGATTTTCTGCAGTGCCTGGACAAAATATCAACGGGCAAGGACATTCTGGGCCTGAGTGGCCGCAACACTCAAGCGTTTGTCGGCGGGACAGGTAGGAATACGACACTGTGGTCTATGTGATTGTGCTGGCAGTTGGATGTCGTTGATCCTGCTACTTATGCGCATCTACCACGCCACTCATGAGACAAGAGCCTTGCTTGCCTCTGTCCACAGTTCTGGGCAAGGCACTGGCAATTAGATTGAGGACATGTCTGTGTGGGATCTTGGATCCAAACTCATGCAGCTGCACCACCAACACGATACTTGCTTTTCGAGGATCCAACCCTATAACGAACACGTACATGCAGTCCGAGAGTTCTGGGGCCCATCTGAGGCTGGTTGCACCTTACGGTTAGCATTTTCATGATTTCTAAAATTCTAGATAAGCCTGTAAACCTAAAAACGAAGTGGGGAGCACTTGGGATCTCTCCAAAAAATCAAGCATGTGTCCTTGACCCAGGAAAGTGCATCTTCGTGCCTGTCAAGACACGCAATGAGTTGGGAAATCAGTTTGCCATTGGGTTTGCGCGAAGTGCTGGCATGCGTGGGCAAATCCCTAGCGAAATTATGCAAATATATATATATATATATACTCTCTACAGACCCAAAAACTGAAGGTCTTTTTGGTCAAAGGCAGGGCGGGTGCTCATCCAGTGTTCTGTCCCTGCCTGCACCCTGGACCATGTGCGACTTCTGCACGTGGAAGAGAGCCTCATTTCCTAACAATTGCAGGGAGCGAGTTCTCGGGGGGCGAGTTCTCGGGGGGCGAGTTCTCGGGGGGCGAGTTCTCGGGTGGCGAGTTCTTGGCGGGACTTCTCGGGGGGTGAATTGTCGGGGGCTTGGGGGCGGCGAGACGATCTGTCTCTGAGCTATTCATATCCGGCTCTTCGCCTCCGGCCGGACTGGGGGGCGGCGAGACGATCTGTCTCGCTATTCATATCCGGCTCTCCGCCTCTGGGCGGCGAGACGATCTGTCTCTGAGCTATTCATATCCGGCTCTCCGCCTCCGGCCGGATTGGGCGGCGGCGAGACGATCTGTCTCTGAGCCCTTCCCGGACGATATCATTTAGACGGTGAGGTCTACACACTGCATCACGAAACTTCTTTCGGGGCTCTTCGACCCTGAGTGACGACGGCACAATCGCACCGACATTTCGAAACCTATCTAGCCACGCTCCGGCTCGGTAGCAATCCCTGTATGCGGTCCGCATGAGTGATCCATGCTTTGCAAACTTGCTGTTCATCTTTCTGGTTTTCATGATGAGGGCACTTTGCTTCAGAAGTGTTCTGGTGATAACGACAACTCTTGTCATGCTTTCCGCCTGTCACAGGAGATGCGCTCGAATTTCTATCACCATTGCTCTCTGAAAATGCTCTGGCTCACGCTCTACTCTGCATAAGGTACCGCACGCTGCTGGCGTAGACGTGGAGAAGTTGCATTCGCCTACAAGACTAACAACCGAAGGATGTTACCTGCTTGGAACTTGAGGTTCCCCTTATCTAGCTGCACACCCTTAACAAGACTGTACACGTCTCCTTTTCATTTAATTTCCATGATCTTGCCCATGTAAATTCTGCATCAGAGCATGCTAAAATCTATGTCCGTAAAGCCCTAAACCCTAATGACCATGGAGGAAAATTACAAATTGGGTGTTCCCTACCTGGCCTCACGTGGGACGCAAAGCCACGGATCAACAGCAGCGTCTCTTTGCGACCGTACTTCTCGTGTCCTATAGGATAACCCCAAGGCTCTACGGACTTATATTTGAAGGAATTTGAGCGCAAGTTCGGTATGGGATGGAGTCTTCAGAAATGTTTTGAGCTTTGGGGTGGGTTTAGGAATTAATCAGGGGCTTAGAGGTTTAAGCCTTCGAGCGCAAAGAATACCTAGACTTCAAACACTCCCACATACTAGCAATACTTGCCAATAAACCTGCGATTTCGAGGCACAAGGCTGGTTTTAGGCTGTTGGGAGTGCAGGGTGCAGCTACCCGAGAGAGAGGTTTCTAGGTGCCGAGACGCATTGAGACTCTTACAGTTCCTGAAGCCTTATAGTAGTTGGGTACCTCGGAGGTCGGGGAATATGTAGGCCACGACAACACTAGCCAGAAGATGAACAGACTCTTGAAAGGGTTTCAGGCAATGGAGCAACCCTGGAGATCAAAATGAGCTATGGTCTTAACTTAGGAATTAACCCCTGAAGTGTTCCCTATACAGCCACCTCTAAGGAGTTTAGACTAGAGCTCTGGCCAAGGAGAGGATGCTCCTCTCTGGTCATTCAGCATGCCGGTTTAGGGTTTAGGGCTTAGGGTATTCTGTCAAGGTTCTTTGGGCCGTTTGTTTGGGGCTAAAACTCTCCGACTGGTCTCGGCATCTTTGGAACCCTGATCCCCGCGCAACCCTGTCGAAAGTCCCTGCCTCCTGTACTTCTGACATTCATAAACAGCCATAATCTTAAATGAGGTTCTGCATGGGTAACCTTCGGTTACATTTGCAGATATTTGCATTGAAACCTCAATGAGAGCATGCTTGAACCCTCCATAACTTGGACAAAACAAAAGCTACATACGTCCTTAAATCCCATCTTCCGCTGCGTGATTGAGTCTAGTCCATATTAGAGCTTATAGATGCCCGCCAACCTCTAAAGGTTCGACCAGCAGCCTCGGGCCTCATACCGCTCGAACCGAAGACGTCCCAAGCAGCCAAGCTCAACGCATCGTGGCCTTCGCAAGGAAAACCAACTTAGATTCAAATGTCACTGTCGTCCTACAACTCAGAGCAAGACCACACTAATTCCTCTTGGTTAATGTAAACCCCTGATTCATAAAACCCTTCCCCTTAATAGGGATTATTTTAGGGATCTAATATTAAGGCACTTAGAAGGAATGGGTTTATTAATCATGGGTCTCCATTAGAAATGCTGTTGGTTCCTCGAGGCTGACATACCAGTGATGAAGCACGGTAGCCTAGCACTGCGCAGCACTTGCCGGCATTGCTGGTCGTTTGCGAGGTCCCATGCAAGGCTGGTTGGTGGGGTAGGGTGGCTTAGATTTTGGGAGGATGCTGCCGCTCGATGTGAAGTACAGGGACACCTCAAGTCTGGGCGAACCTACCCGTTTGCGCGTATTATTGCTATTATTAATATACCATAATTATCCATGATTATCTTTTTTAGCATCAAAGTTATTAGTGTTAGTATTGGTATCCGAACTATCATTATTATGATTGACGCCATCATTGCTGTCATTACTATTATTTGTTACTATTCTCACCATTATTACTATGATTACCATTGTAAGCAATTTTATTCTTAGTACTACTATTCTTGGCATTGTTACGATTATTATTTTGTATTTTTCTGGAGCTATTTTTACTGCTGCATTTACAACTATTTTTGCTATTACTACGGGGGGTGGCCGGTTGGGAGGGGGAAGTGGTGCGGGAGGGAAAACTGACAGGGTCACCCTGTCTGGACCTGCATGACTCCGCGGCACGCTCTGTCCACACCGCCATCCATTGGCATCAACTCAACCGTGCTCCACGGCATGTGAGCCTTAGTGGGCAGCTTTGCTTTGCTCAAGATGTGGTCATTCGGCAGACCAAGACGCGCACCCTGGCATCTGAGCTAAACTGACCCCAGGAAGCTGCGGGGGGTTTCCTCAAGATGTGCGCTTACAGCATGATGTAACGTGATATGGTATTATAATACTATTCTAGTATTATAGCATTACTATAGTATCAGAATACAATTAAGGAATTATCGTGCTAACATAGTACTATTGTAGTATTGTAGTACCATGATTGTTCTAATATTCTAGTACTCTTATAGTACGAAGAAAGGCCAGTGCGCAGCCCCTTCC